GACAAATTCTTCATATTCAGCAGAAGTTATTCATTCTATTCACTGTTACAAGCTCATCAAACCTCAACTGGTCACAGCTCGCAGGGACTTCATCAACGACTCTGCCGTCCTTGTCACCAGTAAACTACCTAAACGACAGTATGGATAAAATGCTTGCCTTCCAGCTTGCCTTTTATTTTCTTCTAGTCTTCTAGCCTTTAAGATTCAAACGTTGCAACAGCTGCATCAATAATCCGATTGACCATATTGTCTTGCGTTGTGCATAAATAAACCGTGCTTTACGCTGTTTTCAGTACGACAACTAATGAGAAAAAATACTCAATCTACATAATTCATCAATGGCTTTCTTCTAATGGGTGGTGTTATATCGAAGACTCAATCTTGGAGAATATCATCACAATCAAATGCAAATACATAGCCTGGGTGTACACGCGTGGTGCAAACGAAGTTTTGCTCTTTACATTCTGCAGTTTGCTCCTCTTTTTGCCGAATTTATGAATCTTTCTATGAATGCTGTTTCTACCTTTAGTCATTAGCCAGTAGAACTCTCTAAAACTGGTTTGTCGATATACGTGCAACATCTCTGAAGCTGTCGCTGAAGCAAACTTCTTTTTTTTAAAGCATCTTTAAATTGACGCTGATAAGCGACACCTTTTACAAAAGGTGATCGAGTTTAAACGGTTGGAACTATGCAACTGGTGTGACTATCAAAAGTAGGACATGACTATAAGGAAATATAGGGACAGTCGTTCACGGCAAGTTTTATATCCAGAAATCAACCGCTCTAATCAAATGTAACATCTTATTATGCGTCGCTCCATAGGTGATTTTTTACAGAGGAGTGAGCTACATACCACACGGTGCCAAAAGTATAGCACACGACATACCAAGATTATTGTCCCGGGCCCCGGCTCTGATTCACTGGCCCGCCTTCCCTCTGAGGTTGATAACTGACTAACACTCTATGGGAACGGAAAGAGGATTACACAGAATATTGCCACATGGCCGTTGTCGACTCTGTCTTAAAATAAAACAATTCTGACTGATGCCATAGAAATAGAAATTTGAACCTAATTAAACTCATGAAAAGAAGGGGACAAGAAATGGCCCATTGTGAAAGTGAAGGAAGCCGACATGATTGCAAACTTGCCTTCCTTCCCTCCTTCTAAAAAGAAAAAACTTTAAAGTTCAAGTCAATTCAAACATTACCTTTCTGTTAAATACTTTGAAACAGATGCATATGTCCTTCGCCATGTTCGATTTATGTGCATAAAACGAATCGAGTTCTCGAAGAAATAACCTGTTCAACGGGTCTCTGACGATACCCCTTTGCGTCCGGAGGCAAACGTCTAATGAAGCGTGTGATGCGATTTCTTTCAGAGGCCAAACGGCGAAAGCCACGGTGACTGGCTGAGTTCTTGAGGTTGTCTGAAACATGGCAAAATACCGTTCGAATCACCATCAAGTAATGTCAACGAAAATTTACCGCGTTTCCCCTGCTTGCAAGCACGTATTCAAAATGGAAAATGACGCATAGACCGTCGTCTGCCATCGTTTCTGGCAGTTCGACTTTAGACATTAGATGCAAGATGGTCACTCGTTCTGAGAAGTAAGACGCCCATGTCGACGAGTGGTTGGCACTGTGAATGGATGGCATCTCGACGACGCGACGTAAGCTGCCCGCCCTCGCCAGCTTGTGGTTCGACAAGTAAAACACATACGGTTCGGCCAGGTACTTCCATCCGTTATGAATGCCGATCTGTAAAAAAAACGCTTGGCTTAAGGTCATAAAGGGTCCATGAGGCACAAACTCTCAAACGGCTTTCGATGATGCGCATCGAACTTCCGTCCGGCTTTTGATTTTCTGCCGTCAGCCGTTCGACGTTGACGATACGGCACATCTCCATTTGTAGGTATTTTCGATGTTCGCCCAGCTGGACGCACACTTGGTCTAACACGGGCTTGATAACGACAGAGCCATTTGAACTTGGAGACGGCCGATAACCCGGTATAAGCTCTTCAGACAAAACAAGCGTGTTTTCGGGCAGAAACTTGACCATTTCTTGAATGTTCTGCAATCTTTTGAGAGAAATAAAAAAATCACATCCAGCCGGTTCCAGAGTTGAAACATCTTAATGAAT